TCTGTGGTTAGAGCTAAGTATTTTTTTTTAATTTTTAATTAAAGTATAGTTGACATACAACTAACTATATAGGGTATGGCAAATGTAGGTTTACAGTTATTCCTATGGAAAATAATGCAATAATAAATAAATAATAATACAATGAACTCTATGTTTCACATACTCACAACTGTCAACCTACTTTTGTCACACCCTGTAATAGTTTCAGGTGTACAACATAGTGAATTGACATTTCTATACCTCACAATTCTTAAAGAACTGAATGGAAAGAAATGGAAAATGAACTTGGGAAACCCATAGCTTCAAGATCAGTTGGTTTTACTGGAACTCCTCTCCACACCTCATTTTCCCTTTTCTCTTGAGGCCCATTTCACCTCAGTTTTAGCCATAAAGAGGTTGAAATGAATCATGGGAAATCATCCCTTTCCTTCTATGTTCTCCCGTACCTCCTAATCTCCACACCCAGGAGGAGAGACCTGCGTGACTTTGCCTTCAGCTCTGCCTCCCTACTTTACTTTTGTGCCAAGCAGGATCTCTATGGGAAAAGTCACCCACTCCTTGTGGGGCTGCCTCATACCCGTGGGTTGGATTGCTCTAATGGAAGGACCATTGAACAGACCCTTTGGAACTCTGATACTCACTTGCAGGGAAAGCTGTATCTTTCTAGAAGTCTGAGGACAAATCTGTGTAGAAGTCTGAAGACAAAGATGTTGGATGTCACTGTCTTCCCGCATTGCAGCTTGAGTTGTAAGCTGGATTTGCCACTCTTTTTCTTCCAAAGGACTGACAGACTGGATCAGTTTGGATTTTCAGACTTGAATATGTGGAGGCATGAAACAAAATGAATGAAGTACGCTTGTCACATTAAGGAAAATAACTGACAATTATTGTCAACAATAAAATCCAAGCTTTCAAGAGAAAATTAGAACTTTTGAAATCTTGTATCTACCACTGTGAACTTGACAGCTTCTCAATACATAAATATTTTTCTGATGAGATTGGTCATGATTTTAAAAAACGTAATTTTTTTATATTGCATAATAAATGATGTCAGCAGTTGTAAGATTGGCATGACTGAATTTTCCAAACTCATGAATGGGGGAAAAACTCCATTAAAAGTGCCAGGTAAATCAATGGATTTTAATGTAACAGAGTGTTAATTGATTCACTGTTATAGTTACACAGTACCTTTAAGAAACTACTACCTAATGAATTTTGGTGTAATATCAAAGAAATTCATGCATGGAAGGGGGGTTCCTCAGCCCGGCCTGTACCCTTTCCAATCTGGGACCCCTTGGGGGATGTCCGACTGCTGGCAGTCGGACATCCCTCTCGCAATCCGGGACTGCTGGCTCCTAACCGCTCACCTGCCTGCCTGATTGCCCCTAACCCCTTCTGCCTGCCGGCCTGATCGCCCCTACCTTGGCCCCCTGCCAGCCTGATCAACCCTACCTTACCCCCCTGCTGGCCTGATTGCCCCTAACCCCTTCTGCCTGCCGGCCTGATCACCCCTACCTTGGCTCCCTGCCAGCCTGATCAACCCTACCTTACCCCCCTGCCGGCCTGATCACCCCTAACTGCTTCTTCTCGGCCCTCAGGCTGGCCTCCCTCTGTGGGAGGCGATCTGGGAGATCAGGGGAAGGCATCGCCCCCATTACCCCGCTGCTGCTGCCACTGCTGGCCTGAGCCTCAACCCTTCGCAGCTGCCCATGGCTGCCTGACCCTCAGCCCTCACAGCTGCTGCTGCTTTGTCTGGAAGGACATCCAGAAGACTTCCACTCTAATTAGCATATTACCCTCTTATTAGTATAGATTTGGGGACCATGACAACCACACAGAACTTAAAGAAAACACATGGCCCTGGCCGGTTTGGCTTAATGGAGAGAGCATCGGCCTGTGGACTGAAGGGTCCCAGGTTTGATTCTGGTCAGGGGCACATGCCTGGGTTGCGGGCTTGATCCCCAGTAGGGGGCCTGAGGGAGGCAGCTGATCAGTGATTCCAATCATTGATGTTTCTATCTCTCTCTCCCTCTCCCTTTCTCTCTGAAATCAATAAAAAAAATATTTAAAAAAAAGAAAAAACATGATCTTCACTTTGGGCTTTGTCATTTTAAAATATCCTTTTTACAATATTTTAACTTCCCTCAACCTTCCTTTACCCACCCTTAAAATGCAATCTATTTTGGGGAAGATGATCAGGAAAGTGATTCTAGTGGGTAGAAGTTTTTTTTTTTGGGGGGGGTGGGGTTGTGAAAATATTTAAAAATTGAGCATGGTGATGGTTGCACCACTCTGAATTTACTTTAAAAAACCAGTTCATTGTACAGTTTAGTTGACATGTACAGTATATGAATTATATCTCAACAAAGCTGTTCTTTTATTTCTTTTTAAATAGAGACCAGTCTTATAATCAATTACAGATGTTTTCAGAGGCCCCTCCAGGATTTGCTACCATGTCCCAAACCACAGCTGCAACTCCCAGTTGCCTCCAGGCCTGGTGGATCTGGATGGTGTGGTTTGCAAAGGAGAAGGTGGCAAGAGGCTTGTGGAATTTCTGCAGCCCCATTCCCATGGTCTCCTCATAGGGCACCAGGGCCATTTCCACTGTGCCAGCTCTCTGCTTCCTTTCACCTGTTGGGCAAAAGAATCCTGCATGCTCTGGCCAGAAAGTGCATTTTCTCTTAGGTGGCCTGAATGCTTTTTTTAAGGTCATTTTATGGATTCAAAAGAATAAACAGAGATGTGGGAAGCTTTTGTCGAATTCCTTTTACATGGTGCTTCCAGTCTCATGGGAAGTGAGATGTGGCTCTGAATTGATCCCAAAGGGTGTCTTTGGGCAAAAGCACCAGAACAGCACAACTCCTTCAGGATGCCCTATACACTTCGCTGTCAGGACTCAGGGGGGCTTGAGGGTGAGCGAGGTGGCGGTGGTGCCAGTTCAGGACCTGGGAGAAGGTAGCATTTCTACACTACCCAGGCCCGCATGGACTGCAGCTGCACCTGCCGAGGTGGGCAGGGTGTTTCTGCTGTTTTGTTTTGGTCTGGCCTCCACCCCATCAGCCACGGACCTGTGCCTGCACTGAGACTGTGAACAGTTCAATGGTCCTACTTTTTGGTGGATAGTAGACTCACTCCCAGCCTCCCGGAGACTGGCAGTTAGACATTGGCAGCTTCCAAGTCGCTTGCGGGGAGAGCGCGGTCCTACATCCAGAACAGACTCAGGCATCCTTGGCTAGGAGGCCTCCCTGGGCTAGGGACACTGGCGGTTTGAAGGCCGGCCATGCCCCCAGATCGTGGCAGGGGTCTCCTCTGGGGCGCTGGCCAGCCTGGGCTAGGGGCCGCTGGTGGTTTGAAGGCTGGCTATGCCCGATCCAGGCGGGGGTCCCCTCATGGTGACCATTTGTCCTGCTCCCTCAGCTCCCTAGCCTGCTGTTCGGTCGTCCAACCAGTCGTTTCGGGTCGTTACAGCCCCTGGCTTTTTATATATTAGGATAATATCTAGAATTATCTGTAAATGCTTGTAAAATAAATTTTATGCAATCTATTTGAGGCCAGAATTTTTTCAAATACTTTAACTTAAACAATATATAGCAACAGATGGAACACGGAGAATCCAGCTGTCTTCTATCAAGCCGGACATCAAAGAGATTTGCAAAACTGTGAGACAGTGCCATACTTCTCATTACATTTTCTTGTTTTGGAAAATATAACTATCTTTATTAAAATATGTAGGGTGTCCAAAAAAGTGTATACATGCACTTTGAATAATTATGAAGGCAGTGTTTATTAAAACACATTTAATTATCAGAATTGAGCTATCAGCTGTTAAAGTGTGTATATATTTTGGGGGACACCCTTTATTATTTATGTTAGTATGAATTGGGGTCATTATGGTTATTTTTAATTAAAGTAGTAAATAATTATTAAAAAATTTTTAATCCTGAGTACATTAAATATAGTAGATATAGTACACATAAACAAAAAAAATCTTTGGGGTTCTTAAGAATATAAAAGAATCCTTAGGCCAATAAGTTGGACAATCTCTGTGCTAGGTGCACAATGTAGTAAAGCAGTAAGTCCTGCAGGAATGAAAAATTAGAAGAATCATTATGGGTTGGATTTGGCTTTGTTCCAGTGTTAGACATAGCAGCAGATTGATAAGATTCAGATGGGGTAAGCTGATGCAACACTGTGTGGGAAAAGGTGTGGTGGTAGGAACAGTCAGGTTAGGTTTGGAGGACTGTGAGTGTCAAGCAGTGAAGTCCCCTCAGGCTTCAAATCTCTCCTGACTTGCCTCTCTGACCCCTCTTCTACTATCACATTCTCTCTCTCTCTCTCTCTCTCTCTCTCTCTCTCCACAGCTTTTTAAGGACTGATGATTATATTGGGTCCATGTAGAATCCACACTCAACTCCCCATCTTCAGGTCCTTTATCTTAATCACATATACAAAGGCTCTTTTGTCATGTAAGGTAATGTACTCACAAGTTCTGGGGATTAAAACATGGACATCTTATAGGACCATTATTCTGTCTGCCTGTTTTAGTCTGTTCAGGCTACTATAACAAAATAGCATGGATTGGGTGGCTTATAAACAACAGAAATTCATTTCTCACAGTTCTGGAGGCTGGGAGGTCCAAGATCAGGGTGTCAGTATGGTCACGTTCTATTTAGGAACCACTTCTAGTTCATGGCTGCTCACTGTGTTCTCACTTGGTGGAAGAAGGCAAGGAAGCTTCCTCAGGCCTCTTTTATGAGGACTTTAATCTCATTCATGAAGGATCTTCCCTTAGGTCCTAATTACCTCACAAAGGCTCCATCTCCTAATACTATCACCTTGGAGGTTAGGATTCAACACATAAATTTTGGAGGTGGGGAGTGCAAACATTCAGACAATAGCAGTACCATGGGGGTATTTTTGAGCAAGAAAGTGGCACAACGACAATGATATTGAAGGGAGGAAAATCCCCCAATGATTACCCTGTATGGAACTGATCTGGCCATGAAGCTTTGAGTGAAGCTCTTCCTAGGGACAATGTGGGCTTCAATGTCAGGAATGTGTCTGTCAAAGATGTTCATTGTGGCAATGTGGCTGGTGACAGCAAAAATGACCCACCAATGGAAGCAGCTGGCTTCACAGCTCAGGTGATTATCCTGAACCACCCAGGCCAGATCAGTGCTGGATATGCACCTGTGATGGATTGTCACACAGCTCACATTGCTTGCAAATTTGCTGAGCTGAAGGAGAAGATTGATTACCGTTCTGGGAAAAAGCTGGCAGATGGCCCCAAGTTTTTGAAATCTGGTGATGCTGCCATCGTCGATATGGTTCCTGGCAAGCCCATGTGTGTTGAGAGCTTCTCTGACTACCCTCCTCTGGGCTGTTTCGCTGTTTGTGACATGAGACAGACAGTTGCTGTGGGTGTCATCAGAGCAGTGGACAAGAAGGCAGCTGGAGCTGACAAAGTCACCAAGTCTGACCAGGAAGCTCAGAAGGCTAAATGCATATTATTCCCAACACCTGCCACCCCAGTCTCAATCAGTGGTGGAAGAACGGTCTCAGAACTGTTTGTCTCAATTGGCCATTTAAGTTTAATAGTAAAAGACTGGTTAATGATTACAATGCATCGTAAAACCTTCAAAAGGAAAGGAGAATGTTTTGTGGACCATTTGGTTCTTTTGTGTGTGTGGCAGTTTTTAAGTTATTAGTTTTTAAAATCAGTACTTTTTAATGGAAACAACATGACCAAAAATCTGTCACAGAATTTTGAGACCCATTAAAATAACAAAGTTTAATGAGGAAAAAAAAAAGTTGGGGGCAGAGCTCTGCCTCTGTGTTTTCAGTGCAATACAGATGATCCATCCAGAAGAACATCTGCTGATATTCTGGCAGGCAAATCACTTTCCCATTTCCCGTCCTGCCCACATCTGCCATGTCGGTCACCAACAGGACAAGACCATAGCTACTAGAAGCAACTTCTTCTCTTCACTTCTTATCTTGGAAATGTTCCATGAAAAGACAGAACAGGGAATTACCATATTAGATATTAGAAACCAACATGGTAACAGGGCAGAGAATTTTCCCCTCTTATGGCTGACCTTTCACATGAAGCACTTTGTTAAATAATTTGGTGAGGTTTCCAAACCTTGAAGTCTGAGGCAACATTTCAATGAGTGTTGGGTCTCTACCAGTACTCAGAAGAGAGAATAAGCTTAAGAGCCTTTGGGTAATAATTTATCACGAAGGTTAAATTGTGAACGAATGCTTGAGTTAAACAAAAGAAACCCACAAGATGGATGTAACTCAAATATTTTCCAATGTAAGCTTCCTTTTGAAAGTAATTTAAATGTTTGTCTGCCTTCTCATCACATCTATGTGTGATATGTTGAGTAATTAACTAAAGAAGACAGAATGGGAATCCCTGCGGTATAAATTCCAGGAACAGCTGAAAACTCATCCAAAGGTCACTTAGAATCAGAACAAGCCCAAATTCACAAGCTAGTCTCGAACAGAATCAAGTATCCTATAAAAATAAGACAAAATGACAAGCCATTATTTCCACCCTCTCAAAATATTTCTAAAAAACAGGATGCTATTTCTTCAGTCAGGCATATAACTTACGCAGGGCATTCTTAACTACTGATGTTGACTATTACAGCATAACAGCGAACTTCGACATTTTGCAACTTGCATTGTGCAAAGTATATTATCTGTCCAATTCTCTTGGGTGTGTGCAGTTTACTATGTTTTTCCTATGCGTGTTTTCTTGGGGAAAAGATGTCATAAAGTCAGGACTGTTAAACAGAACAGGCAACATTTGCTTTAACACTTTCTCTGTTCTCTTTTGCAAGATTTTCTTCTCTAGAGGAAGCTATCACAGCGCTTCTCCCTGCAACCTCACAGGCAACCAGTGATATTGTTACCTAGAGCTCCATACTCTCCTATCTTAATCCATTGGCAATTCTCTAAATTGCATCTTTTCCTTTTGGACCCAAGATGTTGTCCAGCTAATTGTAGACAGATGTGACCTAGCGGACTAGGTTCCCTTTCAGACAATGTAACATGTTTTAGCCTACCAGATACCCCCATACTCATCTTAGTTGTTTTTATAGCTAATAATTTGGGTAGTTTTTTGAATATGTAAATAGAAGGTGAGGTGACAACCAAAAAGGGAGGGCCAGTAAAAAGCCTACATTTTGGGACCCTCGACCTCTCGTTAAGAGAATGCATGTACTGAAGCTTCAGAAAGTAGATATGAGAGTGAAGAGAGTTTCTAAAAAGAAAATTTTAATATATTAAAGAAAAACACCTACTTCAAAAGTATGCTTTTGCTTCTGGTTTGCCATTTGTGGCATCTACTTAGTGTCCATTAATTGTACTGAGGAGGTAGTTAGGGTCAGTTATGTGCCTAAATAGCTTGTGTCCTACCATGAGAATCACTGGTACTTGGCACTTATTTGGGAGTTTAAGAGGTAGAAACAATGGGCCTTGTGAGACGTGAATCTGTAGCATGCCACATTCAGATCAGCCTAGGGAAACTGCTTGTTACAATTCTTGGAATACTGTTCCCAACCTTGAGATCCAGAAATGGCAGATCAGTGCCTCAAGCTTTAACTAGGTACTGGGTTTGTTTAACAAACTCATTCTTCTCCATTGTTTCACACAGACCTACATACTCTGCAGGTGTCCCTTCTTAATACTGATTTATTTTTATTCTTTATGTACTAATTCTCTTAGATTAGTTGATATGAAATTTATATATTTATTGGGGTTAAAATTTGGGTTTTATTCCATGTGGATTTGTGGTTGGAGAGAACAGAACTGAAGTAGGAGTCGGAAGACTATATTAGTTTTGGTAATGCTATCTGCTATCTCAAAAAATTCCCAAATCTATAAAGGCTTAAGCACAATAGAAGCTTATTTCTCACTCAGGAAAAGTCCAAAGGTGTATTCTTGATTGGTGAACTGCTCTTTTCCAAGTGGTGATTCAGGGACCCATGATCCTGACATCTTTAAAATGTGGCTTCCTAGGTTGCTATGTTTATTTGTATCAAGCTGAAAGAAAAGGAAAGAGGATTGAGTGAGTTTTTAATGGGCCACACCCAAAAGGGTGCATATCATTTTGCTCACCATTCTTTTGACTAGAACCCAGTAACCTGGCCATAGCTAACCCCCTTCTCTTGGGAATCTGGGAATATTACAACCTATCTTTTCAATGGCAGTTGTCTCCAGATCTGTTGGATTTATCATATCTAAATAATATAAAAACCTAGACTAAAACAATATAGGATGGAACCTCCATGCCCCCTGAAGCAGATGATAGCTAGAATCCTTTCACGTTCTAGTGATCTTTTGTCTTCTCATTTTAAACAGGAGAGCATTGTACTGTCTTTAAAATAGATACTTCATTATAATAAAATCTTTTGTTGCTTACAAATACTTATTTTATTTTTTATTGAATTTATTGAGGTGACATTAGTTAATGCAACTATATAGGTTTCCGGCGTACAATTCTATAATACATCATCTATATATTGTATTGATGTTCACTACCCCAAGTCAAGTTTCCTTCCATCACCATTTATCCCCCCCATACTCTCCTCTTCTTCCCCTCAACCTGCTTTCCCTCTGGTAATCACCACACTATTGTCTGTGTTTATGAAGGTTTTTTTGTTTTTGTTTTTTTGGTTAATCCCTTCGCTCTTTTCACCCAGGCCACCAACTCCCTTCCCCTCTGACAGCTGTCAGTCTGTTGTCTGTTTCTATTTTGTTTATTAGCTTATTTTGTTCATTAGATTCTACATGTAGGTGAAATCATATGGTACTTGTCCTTCTCTGACTGGCTTATTTCACTTAACGTAATATTCTCCAGGTCCCTCAGTGTTGTTGAAAAGGGTAAGATTACCCTTTTATGGCTGAGTAGTATTCTATTCTGTAAATGTACCACTGATTTTTTATCTACTAATTTACTGATGGGCACTTGGGCTACTACAAAATCTTGGCTATTGTAAATAACACTGCAATAAACATAGGGTGCATATCTTCTATTGAATTAGTGTTTCAGGTTTCTTCAGCTATATCCCGAGAAGTGTAATTGCTGGGTCATAAGGCAGTTCCATTTTTAATTTTTTGAGGTAACTCCATAATGCTTTCCACAGTGGCTGTACCAATCTGCATTCCCACCAACAGTGCACAGGGTTCCCTTTTTACCATATCCTTGCCAACACTTGTCACTTGTCAATTTATTGGTGATAGCCATTCTGACAGGGGTGAGGTGATATCTCATTGTGGTTTTAATTTGCATTTCTCTGAGGATTAGTGATTTGAGCAGCTTTTCATATAACTACTAGCAATTTGTATGTCCTCTATGGAGAAGTGTCTATTCAGGTATTTTGCCCACTTTTTAACTGGATAGATGGTGTGTTTTTTTGGTGTTGAGTTTTATAAGTTCTTATAAATTTTGGATATTAACACCTTACCAGATATATCATTGGTGAATATGTTCTCCCATTCAATGGGCTGTTTTTTCATTTTGTTATGGTTTCTTTTGCTGTGCATAAACTTCTTAGTTTGATGCAGTCTCTTTTGTTTATTTTTTCCTTTTGTTTCCCTTGTCCACAGAGACATATCAGAAAAAATCTAAGCTAATAAAAGACAAAGATGCTAATTGACCATACCTTTGCTATGCCCTAAGCCACGCCCACCAGCCAATCAGAGCGACTATATGCAAATTAACCCAACCAAGATGGCGGCCGGCAGCCACTGAGCTGGAGCAAGCAGGAGGCTTGGTTGCCCCGGCAATGGAGGAAGCCAAGCTTCCCGCCTGCCCTGAGCTGGCTGTGGCCTCCGCTCATGGCAACAGATTCAATTATAGAAGACAAATAAATCCCAGATACCTGCTTCCAGCCAGCCTCCACTGGGAGCTTGGGTGGCTGGGGGTTGTGGCCAGCCTGCAAACAGCTATCAGCCCCTCACCCAGGCTGGCCACACCCTCATGCGGTGAGGGTCCCTGCTGGGGGGCTTAGCCAGCCTGCAAACTGTCATCAGCCACTCACCCAGACTGGCCAGGCACCCCAGCAGGACCGCCCCCACACCATGAATGGGGTGTGGCCAGCCTGAAAATGGCCCTCAGCCCCTCACCCAGACTGGCCAGGCATCCCAGTGGGGGCCCCCACACTGAAGGTTCTGTGGCTATCCTGCATACAGCCATCAGTCCCTCACCCAGGCTGGCCAGGCACCCCAGGGGGGACCCCCACCCTGAAGGGGCTGTGGCCAGCCTGCAAACAGCCATCAGCTCCTCACCTAGGCTGGCCAGGCACTCCTATATAATAAAAGGGTAATATGCAAATTGACCCTAACAGCAGAAAGACTTGGAATGACTGGTCACTATGACACACACTGACCCCCAGGGGGCAGATGCTC